ACAGGATTGTTTTTTAAAGTACAGTTGTTTATGAAAAGGAAAAAATTTAAAAGCCAAGACTACAGAACTTCATAAAGGACAGAAAGTATCCTAAAAACTTTGAATAAAGGTCAAGGAAATCTCTCTAGAACTTTATACTGATACTGTTTTTATAAAGAATAAAAAAAATGCCTAAACTCATTTGAAAATATAAAAAAGTATCTGGGCATAGTGGCCCACACCTGTAATTCCACATACTCAGGAGGCTGAGGCAGCAGGATCTGAAGTTCAAGGTCAGCCTGGGAAACTTAGCAAGATTGTCTCAAAATGAAAAAAGTTTTTAAAAAAGGACTGGGGAGGGCTAAGGTCATAGCTCAGTGGCAGAGCGCCTGCCTAGCATGTGTGAGGCACTGCGTTCAATCCTTAGCACCACATACAAATAAATAAAATAAAGGCATTCTGTCCATCTACAACCAAAAAAAAAAAGGACTGGGGATATAGCTGAGTTATAGAGAGCCCCGTGTTCAATCCCCAGTGCTTCAAACAACAGCAACAACACAACAGGTGAAAAAGCTTCAGAGTGTATCTGGTCCTTCTCTATGCCATTTCTTAGGAACTCAGAATCCTTAGCCATAACACAAAAGGCTCTAAGTGACTGCAGATTATTTGTAACTGCTGGTTGGAAGAAGCAGGCTAGGAAAACTTATCCCTGGAAGAATGAAGGCGGCTTTCCAGCACCTCCGGATGCTTTTCTGGTACAAAGGGCCTTCCTGAAAGCGGTCTCAATGGTTCATTATGATTTGCTCCATGAAGAAACATTTTCCTTTAACATCCTTGGCTTTATGAAATAAGAACTATTTTCATAGCTTTGTCAGCATTTCCAAATTCTAACAAAATGTCCTCTAAAGTAATAAAGTTATTTTTCTTTTTTTTTTTTCCCTCGTGCATGGTGGGCAAGTGCCCTACCATCGAGCAACATCCCCAGCCCACTGTCCTTTCAAATACTACTCTTTTCTGGACCCTGGCACTCTTTTCCTGGACACTCTCTTAGCTTTCCAATCACGTGAGTTGGCAAAGAAGTATTGAAAGCAACCCTTACTTTCCATCACCAATCTCAAGTTCCCACACCAGCTCGACAGGCTGCAATTATTTCTGCAGCATCAATGTAGAGACGAACGGTGCAGATGGTTTATCTTCAGGTGACCCCAGCACCACTGCACCCCAATTCTGAGGTGGCCTTGTGGCATTCATCCATCTGCTGCCAGAGGGAAGAGGAGCCGCTGCTGTAAGGCTTACCACACAGCCTGCCTGAGGGCAGCCAAACAAAACAGAAAGCAGGAGGAATGGAGGACCAGTCCAGAGAGCTGGATCCAGGTCAGGGAAGGGAAAGCCAGTGCCACCTGTAGCTTTCCAGTTACATAAGCCAACAGGTGCACCGCTCCACGCCCACCAATCTGTCTTCTCTAAATCAAACTAAGTTTGTTCATCAAATGGAAAGAGTTCTATATTAAGATGCTTTTAGCCAGGTGCAGTGGCTCATGACTTAGGAAGTTGAAGCAGGAGGATTGCAAATTTGAGGCCAGCCTGGTCCTCAGGGACCAGGTCTCTCCTTAGGGAGACCAGGTCTCAAAAAATAAAAAGGGCTCGGTATGTAGCTCAGTGGTAGAGCACCTCTGGTTCAATGCCCAGTATCAAAAAATAAATAAATAAAATAAAGATGCTTTCAGCTGCAAGTAAAAATAAATAAATAAAGGTATTTATTCTCTCATGTAACAGACATCACTGAGATAAGCAGCTTCAGGGCTATTGGATAAAAATGTGATCAAGCTTCTCTTTAGGGACACACCTAAAATCCAAGAGACTCCAGAGACTCAGGTAGGAGGACCGCAGGTGCCAGTCCAGCCTCAGCAACTTAATAAGGTCCTGTCTCAAAATAAAATAATTAAAAGGGCTGGGTGGGCTGAGGTTGTGGCTCAGGGGTAGAGCACTTGCCTAATACATGTGAGGCCCTGGGTTCAATTCTCAGCACCATATAAAAATAAATAAAGATATTGAGTCCAACTAAAAAACTAAGAAATATTTAAAAAAAAAAAAGGGGGGGGGGGAATGTAGCTCAGTAGTAGGGCTACACTGAACCCTGGGTTTAATCTCCAGTACAAAAAAAAAAACAAATCTGGGCTTCCCATCTCTCTCCCCTTCTGGCTTGTCTTTGAGGCACAGTTATCAAAGTGGTTTCAAATGGCTACCAGTGCTCCAGGCACACATCCTCAATCCACAGTATCAGAGGGAAGAGTGGGAAATTTCCCTTGTTTCTATTGGGGAAGGGCACTTTCGAAGACCAACCACCCCAGCGTACTTCCTGTTACTGTCACTGGCCAGAAGGGAGCTTCACACTACCCCACTGCCTCCACCATAGGCAAGGAAGGGTGGAGTCACCATGCTGGCAAAGACAAAGCGTGACTTGGACAGCCCCCTCCTCCTGGAGCATACACCGTGGAGGACACCTGATCAATGTAGGGTTCTATTTCCAAGGAAGAAGAGGGAAACGACTCCTAGGTAGGCAAGCGACAATGTCTGCTCTAGGTCCTAACATAAGCACTGGTGTTTGGTGAGACAGTGAAGAACACAACTTTCCAAACCAAGTTATGAGAATTATCATTTTAATTTTCATGTACATCCAACCTAAATAAACAACAACCATAATTTTTATTCTTAAGAAACTATGAATTAACCACAAAGCCATAAAGTCCTTGATGTGGTTTTTTAAGCCTTTGCTGAATGCGGCAGAATAATGGGTATTACCTATGGAGGTTATTTTCAATGTGCCTAAGAGCAGGAAAGGAATGTTAATGAGTTAGCCTACCATGCTCAGAGTTCTAAGACTACCTGTTAGCCAAGGCTGTTAGAACCTGCCAGGATATACAGCCAAAGAACCTGCGGGCTGAGCTCAGGTTATAGCTCAGTGGCAGAGCTTTTGCCTAGTGTGGGCAAGGCCCTGGGTTCCACCCTCAGCACCAAGGGGTAGGGACCAGAAGGCTGGGGGTGTAGCTCACTGGTAGAGAACTTGCAGAGCAAGCACAAGGCTCAGAGTTTGACCCCAGCACCACAAAACAAAATAAAATCCCCTGTTAAATAAAGAGCAGGAACCCTGAGTAAAACTAGTTTCCAACTCTATATAATCCCAGCAGGAGAAGCATGAGTTCAAAACCAGCCTCAGCAACTTAGCAAAGCCCTAAGCAACTTAGTGAGACCCCGTCTCAAAGAATAAAAAAGGGATGGGGATGTGGCTCAGTGGTTAAGCACTCCTGGGTTCAATCCCTGGTACCAAAAAAACAAAAACAAAAACATTACTATCCAGTTCTGCCTGCTCCTTAAGATATGGTGGTACTGGAAGTCACAAGGCTTTAATGAAATGGCACCTGAAAGCTCAGGGGCTAGAGCACGGCACTCAGCAGTACTGTGAGGTCCGGGAAACAGAGGAGGGCTGGCACCAGCCGATCAGGACACAGGTAGTGATGGAGCCGGTGAACAATCTGTTCATTTCCGAAGCTAACACAGACCATAACTATGTTGCAAAAGAATTACTCGTCCCAGGGCTAAGGCTGTGGCTCCGCGGTAGAGCGCTCGCCTAGCATGTGTGAGGCCCTGGGTTCGATCCTCAGCACCACATAAAAATAAAATAAAGATATTGTGTCCAACTACAACTACATAAACAAGGTATTAAAAAAAAAAGAAAAGAAAAAGAATTACTAGTCCAGTAATTGAGATCCAAAGGCAAAGAAAATTAACTTATAAAGCATCAGTGGTGATAAGGAAAAATTAACAGTAGGTAAGTGGAAACTAGTAAAAACAGCTAAAAGAAACAGATAAAAGTCTCAGGTGATCTTAGGAAACTACTTAACTGTGCCTTGAGCAACTACAAACATTTTAGACTAGAATTTAATATCACTTGAAGTCCCTGCTTCTTTCTTCACAAACCACTTCAATGAACCTGCACGTGTGTTCATACCTATTATTACATAGATTCATTCTCCCAAATTAAAAGCTAATTATCTTAACAATTATTTGCCACAGGAAACAGAGAAAGTTAAGTGGGGTAGACTGGAAACCAAGGCATGATAGTGCACCACCCACACTCCCAACAATCTGGAAGGCTAAGACAGGAGGTTAGCAAGTTGGCCAGCCTGGGTGATTTTTTTTTTTTTTGATACCAAGGATTGAACTCAGGGGTGCTCGACCACTGAGCCACATCCTCAGCCCTATTTTATATTTTACTTAGAGACAGGGTCTCACTGAGTTGCTAAGTGCCTCACTAAGGTGCTGAGGCTGGCTTTGAATCACAATCCTCCTGCCTCAGCCTCCCAAGCTGCTGGGATTACAGGCCTGCACCACTGTGCCTGGCAGCCTGGGCAATTTAATGAGACTCTCAGCAACTGACCAAAATCCTGTCTCAAAATAAAAAGGACTGGAGAACCAGGCACAGTGGCACACACTTATAATCCCAGCAACTAGGGAGGCTGAGGCCAGGAGGATCATAAGTTTGCAGCCAGCCTGGGCACCTAAGCCAGACCCTGCTTCAAAAACAGAGCTGGGGATGTCGCTCAATGGTAGAGCACTTGCCTGGCATATGTAAGGCCCTCAATTAAATTCAGTTTCAAGGGGCAAAAAAATAGTGATCCTGTAAATTAACTATCAACCACCTGCCTTAACTAAGGAGGACATCAGCCTAGTTGAGCAGCAGAGGCTAATGTGCACTAAGGGCAGTGAGAAGCAGGAGACCACAGAAAGGCCTTTGCTATGTAGACGGACTGCTGCATGACCTGCAGAGGGTAACCACCACTGTCTGAGCCCAGGTTCTCATCTTTAATGTGCGCTCATAACACCCTACGCAGGCTACAGGGAGGAAGAAATGGAATCAAATACCCAATGCAACTCTTGAAGTTTCCAGCACTAAGGAGGCACTTAAAAAAATGGTGGTTACTGTTATCACTTTTATTATGAGATCACCAATAAGCACTTACCTAGAGAAACAACAGCAACGCTCTCTGGTAAGAAATGCAATCTGTATCGGATCAGTAAATGCACCAATATGATGCAGATAGCTGTGGGAAAAAATAAGACAGTGTTTAAAAAAAAAAAAAAAGCCCAAATTTGAATAAACATCAAGTTCAAAGCAATGTTTATTGGGGGGGGGGAGCTATCAGCATAACAGACACTTGGTAATGACACAGTAAACTTCGATTGTATTTTCATTGTCTTTTTAAAAAATTTTTCTTTTGTTATTCTAATTAGTTATACATGACAGTCAATGCATTTTGACACATCATACATAAATGGGGTATAACCTCTCATTCTTCTATATATTATCTTAGCTTTTAACCTGGAAGTAAACTTAAACTTATAGTTTTTATAATATTTCTCTATACTTCTTTGTATGCCTGAACTACTTTGTTTTCTGGTAGCTGATGTTTCAATAAACTGCAAAAACTTATACAAGCGTTTAAATTACATAGATTTTCCTGATTATGAGAAATGGTCCTATTTTTTTAAAACTAATTTTCAACTGGAAAACTCTAAACAGTGAAGAGGAAATCAATGAAACCATTTTTACGCAAATATAACTGCAACAGGTTATGTAGACATGAAATATTTTGTCACCACCTGACCAGCTCTCTATTATGAAGAAAGTGAGGATGTTTAAAGGTCAATACTTTGTTTAGTGAAGAAAACATCAAAGAGATTCAAAAATGGGATACTCCTGCTCCCCAGCTGGCTACAGCTGGGCCGAGCAGTTCCCCAAGAGTCCAGAACTGCACTGAGCACTCCCCAAAGTTGGCTCACTGGATCCCAGCTCCGCCCTGGGCTAGCTGTCGTCACCATTACATCCTTTGGACAGAGAAAAGCGAGGCTTGAGGACGCCACACACAGGTGGTGCTGCGGCCCTGTGCTCTGTGCCACAGTGCTCTCTGCCACCTCCCACCTGGCTGGCAGCCTCCATTCCTCAACCTCCAAAACAGGACTCAAGCCTCACTTGTCTCACAGGGGTTCTGCCAGGAAACAAGAGAAGAGGATGTAAAACTATTTTAAAAAAGAAAGTACTGCAGCAGGGCATGGTGGTGCACACCTGTAATACTAGGGGCCGGGGAGCAGAGTCAGGAGGATCACGAGTTCCAAGCCAGCCTCAGCAAGGGCAAGGCACTAAGCAACTCAGTGAGACCCTGCCTCTAAATAAAATACAAAATAGGGCTGGGGATGAGGCTCAGTGGGTGAGTGCTGGACTTCAAGCCCCAGTACCAAAAAAAGAAAAAAAAAGTAAGCATCGCATAATACTTCATGGCCCAGACCTTAGTACGCAGTCTCTGTCTTTCATTAGGCTCCTTGGCGGCACACCATCTGCTAATCACAGTATTATCTTACTAGAACTGATTTTTTTAAAGGAAATGCTTAAACAATCTGCATAACTGTTAACACCCTCAGAGCCCACACTAACAAATGAGATTTCTTCAATCCCAATAAAAAGCACCAGGTGGCCAAAGAAAGCAAACAGTTATACAGAGTTATCCCTCGTTCATTCTGTGCTTCACACTATTAATCTGTGATGTTATTTTAATATAAATATTTAACCTAGTTAGAAAATCTACATTAAATAATAAAAGCATGAAAAAAGTCCCCAGATGCAAGTACAGCGTGTGCTGATGAGCATGCGCTGACCGGAGGAAAGAGCACGTGAGCATGAGGAGACAGAAAACGGCATCAGTTTCTGCTCTTTCTTTGCACCAAGCTGGATTTCTAAAAATTAACTTGAAAAGTTTACTCATATAAAAAGCAAATGATTATATGCAGTTTTAAGGGGAAATTGTCTAAGCCACTAACAAAAAAACTCTGAAAAGACAACCCACAGAATGGGGGGAAATATTTACACTACTATATATGACGATGGACTAGTATAGAGAATATACAGAGAACTCCTACAGCCAACAACAAAGAGCCAACACAGTTTAAAAATGGGTGAAGAACAGACATTTTTCCAAGTAAATGGCAAGTAAGCACAGGAAAAGGGCTCACCATCAACAGTCCTAGAGAAACAAAACCAAACCACAATGGGACGAAACTTCACATCCTCTCGGATCCATCCATCTTATTATCTATTGACCTATTCATGCTGGGCTTGAACCCAGGGGCACTCTATCACTGATCCTCAGCCCATTTTATTTTTTGAGACAAGGTCTCCCTGAGTTTTATAGGCTGGCCTTGAACTTGTCATCCTCCTGCCACAGCCTCCTAAGTGGCTGGGATTACAGGGGAGTGCTACATGCCCAGCTGGGATGGCTATAATAAAAACAACAGCCAGGCGTGGTCATGCATGTTTGTAATCCCAGCAGCTCAAGAAGCTGAGGCAGGAGGATTGCAGATTTGAAGCCAGCCTCAGCAATTTATTGAGACTGTAGCAAGCTAGTGAGATGCTGTCTCAAAATAAAAAATAAATAAAAAGTGCTGGGGATGTAGCTCAGTGGTTAAGCATTCTTGGGTCCAATCCCTGGAACAACAACAACAAAAAAAACAGAATATAACAAGCATTGATAAAAACATGGAGAAACCAAAACTCTTATAAAATGGTGCAGACTGTGAAAAAGAGTTTGGCAGTTCCTGAGAGTTAAACAAAGTAACCATTCGATCAAACAAGTTCACTCATAGGTAAATATCCAAGAGAAAGAAAAACACTGCCAAGTGCATTAGCACATGTCCATAATCCTAGCCATTCAGGAGGCTGAGGCAAGAGTATTGCCAATTCAAGACCAGCCTGAGCAACTTAGCCAGACCCTGTCACAAAACAAAAAACATATACTCCATATATGTATAATATGTCCAAATATACTCTGTCATGTATATCTAAAAAGAACAAATAAAAAAATTTAAAAATAAGGGTGGGAGATATAGTTCAGTGATAGAGCACCCCAGGTTCAATCCCCAGTACCTGCTCCACACACACACACACACACACACACACACACACACACACACAAACAACTGTACACAAATGTTCACAAAAGCACTATTCAGAATAGTCAAAAGGTGGAAACAATCTAAGTGTCCATCACCTGATGAATGAATAAACAAAGCCATACAATGGACTATTATTCAGCATAAACAGGAGTGCATTCTAAAACATGCTCTGACATGGATGAATCCTTAGGACATTATGCTAAGTGAATAAGCCAATCACAAAAGGTCTCACATTGTATGATTCCGTATATATGAAAATATTCTTTTGGGGGGGTACCAGGGATTGAACTCAGGTACATTCAGTCACTGAGCCACATCCCCAGCCCTATTTTGTATTTTATTTAGAGACAGGGTCTCACTGAGTTGCTTAGCACCTTGCTGTTGCTGAAGCTGGCTCTGAACTCACAATTCTCCTGTCTCAGCCTCCCAAGCCGCTGGGATTATATGCATGCGTCACCACACCCAGGCTATATGAAATATTCTTAATAGGTAAATTCCTAGAATCAGAGAGCAACATGGTGAATGCTACAGCAACAAAGACTAAGGAGTAACTGCTTTTAATGCTTTTTCTATAAAATTTTTTTAATAGTTGTAGGTGGACAGCATGTCTTTATTTTATTTATTTTCATGTGGTGCTGAAGATCAAACCCAGTGCCTCACACGTGCTAGGCAAGCGCTCTGCCACTGAGCTACAGCCCAGCCCTAATGCTTTGTTTTAATGCTTTCCTTCTGAAGTGATAAAAATGTTCCGAGCCAGACACAGTGGCACATGGGATAGCTATAATTAAAACAACAGCCCAGAGACACTCAGCCAGAAAGTCACAAGTTCAAACCAAGCCTGGGCAACTCAGCAAAGTCCTGGCTCAATATATTAAAAAAAAGCCTGGGATGTAGCTTAGTGGTTGAGCGCCTCAGGGTTCAATCCCCAGAAGCATAGAAAAAGAAAATATTCTGGATCTAGATGGCTGCACAACACTGTGAACGGAATAAATGTAGCTGAATTACACACTTTAAAATGGTTTAAATGATATTTTGTTTATTTTATCACAATTAAAAATGAAGTGGATCTAAAATCTACTAACATGAAAAAAGAAAGCACAGACCATTCTGTGAGAAAAAGCAAATTACAGAATTCCGTTTATGTTAAAATAAACTCCAAACTATATGTGCTTGCACACCCGTATGTGCTTATAAATGGACATACGTGCATATACATACATGCAAACATGCCTTCAAGTACAGTAAGGGGAAAAAAACGGCAAGAAGGGATGAAAACTTGTGTGGTACAGAAGGAATGCATCCCATAAACTAATGTGCTTCTCTTTTTTTGTGCCTGACCTGGTAATTATGGAAAATACATTAAAACAAACATGTCAATTTTAATAACTCCATTAAGTTTAATGGCCCATAAGATGCACTAAATGATGTTAATTGTTAACTCTAGTTTAAGTCAATAATAATGACTCATCATTGATTCTAGTGAAGTCAAAGATCAGCCAGGTTAAATGCAAGTCAACTGAATTCAAGTTTCTAAAAGTCAAAAGTAACTATAGAGTTTTGTCATTCCTTCATAACAAAGAGGAAACATCATAATCCTGTGATATGCTTATAGGACACAAAGTTACAATTTCATTTGATTTAACTAAAATAGTAAACAAAAGTGGTAAATGGCTGGGGCACCCTGTTCCACGTGTGCAATCTAAACTACTTGGGAGGCTGAGGCCAGGTAGTGAGACCCTGTCTCAAAATATATAACTATAAAAAGGGCTGGAGATATGGCTCAGTGACAGAGCTCTCTTGGGTATGATCCCCAACTCTGCAAAAATAAAACAAAAACAAAAGCAAGCATTATTCCATTCTGTCAATGCCTACTGATAAGTAAGTAAAGACACTAACTCATCCAAGAATCTGATTAGGTGAAACAAAACTCACGGAACAGCAGTGTGACTCTAGAGTCTAGGTTTATGATCAGTTTGAAGAGAAAACAATCAAGAAAAATACCCAGCACTATTAAGTACAGTTCGGCCTTCCCAGCCCCCAAGATGAGCTAACACTGGGCAGGATTTTGCTGAGATTAGAAGGCACATTATCGAAACCTGTTTTGTGATCTCCAGCACAAGTTAATCTTAAGTGCCCCACATCCTGAAAGTTTTAATTTGACATTTCATCCTCCCTTAAAAAAAGTGATCACAGAAGTTTCCCAGGCTGCCTTTTCTATTCTCTAACAGAGCAGGCTGCCAGCAGTGTCAACAGACTAACCACGCTCCATCCTGAAAGATGACGTCAGGTCCTGAAGAGTTCTTAATAAAGAAAAGAACTGCTTTTCTTCTTTGTATTCAATTACTTTAACCAAAGGAAAAGAAAATAAAACCAAAGAGTCCTTGATTATTGGAAGTAATCCACTAGAGACCATTCAATTACATTTACTGGGTAAAAAAATGGTCCAGGTGTACTACGTCCCACACATTGTACACTTCGCATTGTGTACTTTCTCATTATTCAATTTAAACGTTTTTTAAATTCTATGACGGAAAAGGACGAATCGTAGGATTTCCAATAAACTACTATACTGTTAAAACTCTTTGACCATTTACCACAGTCTGAATATAAATGTGAACAAAATTACACTTTTTCTCCAAAACCAGTCCTATTAAACATCAAAACAATACTCATAAAAACCCAGTTCCTTTCACTCCTCTGAAAAGGTCTAATCTAATTAAATGACATCAATATCATTAAGGAAAAGCAGCAAATGTAAACATGCAAACTTTTGAAATGAGAGTCTGGACTTGGGTCCCGTCACCCTCCAGGTTCTTTGTGCCTACTCAGCTAATCTAAAGTGACTGTACAATTTCTCCAAAACAGTTGTCCTCTGTCCATCTCCTGTCTCTGGGAGGCACTGAAGTTTTGACCTCTTTATCTAGACCTCCTGACTGGCATCTGGCAACCTGGATATCAGCCACTAGTCTCCACCAGCCAGGTATGTGATTGTTCGACCTCTCTAGACCCACTGGAGGAGGAAGGTGAACAGGTAAGATTTTAACTTGGACAAAATTAGCCCATTTAAACAAAAATATAAGAAAGGAAAGAGCACAGAGAGTGTGCAGAGATGGCAAAGGTCACAACCACAGTCAATGGGAATGACAGTTGAATGGTGTCTGACACAAGGGTTCGGTCTTTCACTCAAATATACCCAGAAACCTAATAAATACAAGAGACAAAATGCTGCTCTGGTTGAAGTAAGTTAGGGACAGGAAGTCAGATGTGTTCTCACTTGGCTCCCCCTACCTCCTGCCCACCACCTTCACACATGTGTGCATGTACACACACACACACACACACAGATTCCTATGAGCAGAATACGAAATCCACTAATGGTTGTTCAAGATCCTTTTTGGGTTAAAAATTCTTTAATTCCTTCTTTCAAAGGTCAGGATACGACACTAAGAGCTCTTCAGAACTGCTTAGCCCCATGATTCCATAGACCCTTACGGTGTTATGACCACTGGCCCTCAGTGTTGAAAGTGGAACCACATGGCAGGAATGCCTGACGGAGACAGCGATGACAGGGTCAACCACAAACACTCCTGAGGGCAATGGTGGGCTCCATATTCACCTAAGACAAGGAGGCTGAAGAAAATGGTCATGCCACTTGACTGCTCCTCCTGCTGGGCCTGCTCGCCCGTCTGCACAGGGAGGATGGGCTTGGCAGGGGTCGGGAGCACCAGTTTGGTCGTGACACCCAGGGTGGTGTGGAGGGTGACATTGAAACCCTCATGAGTTGTATTGGAGAACCTGTTGGAGAATATAAAAAGCAGAATTAGATGACAGAAAGGGGTCTCAAGTATCAATACACACACCTCAAAATGGAAGACAACCTGGCAAAGAATTTCATGGGATTCACAAGTCTCCCAAAGAGAAGGCAGGCCTCAGAAAAATGGAGATGAAGGAAACCCCTGCCTGCAGGAGGGTAATAAAGGCCTCAGGTACCTTTGATTATAGCCTCCCAGAGGCCAGGAACAAGGGCAAATCTGGGCTGGTATAGAAACGAAATATGTCCTGCTTTTTCACACTTGATGGGGGCAACTAGTCTCAACACATCCCAAGGTCTATTACTTCATGCTTTTATTTATCCATTTTGTGTTCTTTGTATTATTTCTGCTTGTGGAAGAAACCACCTGAATTTGCCCAATTGTCACTCTGGTCAGAATGACCTACCCTACCTTACAAAATCCTACTCAGATTTCAGAAGGCTCAGGTTACCTGCTTTATAATACTCCACCCCACCCAGTGTACCCACCCCATGGCTTCTGTGCCAAGGCTCTCTTTTCATATTGTGTTGGGACTGTGAACTAGGGCAACACTGATACGATAATAATGGTTAATTGTGATTGTAACAGTTGGTATTTACTGCATCCTGCTTCATTCCAGGAAGAAGGTAACACACTACCTCTCCAGGTTCCATACCTTGACCAACATCCTTATTAGTCAATGGCAGAATCAAGCTTCAACCCAAGCCTGACAGCACGGGGCTAGTCCAGTCTCTTTGCTTTGTGCTGTTGAGGACTAGTTCAGTGTCTGGAGCAGATGCCCAATAAGTCAATCGACTGAATGACTTGACCCCCACGTGGCCAAGGGCTATTGAAAGGTTATCAGGTGAAGAAGTCCAGTATCAATGGGTACCTTGCTAACCTTCACATACTCATTCCACGAACACTGACAGGGTGTCTAGAACGTGCAACAGATGGTGGCCTGCAACGATGGCGATGGACCTTGGCCACAAAGGCCTGGAGGACACAGACGCCCTCCCTACCTCATCACATGGAGCTCATTCGCCTGTTTTCTACACTCTACCCCTGCTGCCTTTCTTTCGTTCACTGCAAAGCACAAAACCCTCTCTTGAGAAAGGGCTTTTGAACTCGTCACCCCTCCTATTCCTCCTGTTTGTTAAAGTTTCTGCTCAAGCGACACTTCTTCCTGGGAACTCCGCACCCGCACGCTACTCCACTCCTTGCATTTATCGGGCCGGGGCCCACCGCGTGGGTCCCTGTCAGACTTCAGGCAGCTCCTGGTCCGCCTCCCTCACTACCATGTGCCTCGGGCCTGCAACTGCGCCAACCGTCCTCGGATGAATGAAACTCGGTGAAGGGGACGGACGCGAACCGATCGTTAGAGGAGGCTGCGGCTGGCGAGGCAGCGAGCGGGCGCGGGGGGCCCGGAGCCTTCCTGCGGCGAGGCGAGGAGCGCGCAGCGGCCTCCGCAGGGCGGAAACCCAGACGGTGGAGGTGGGCCGCGGCCTCCGCAGGGCTGTTCTCGGGGCGCCCCAGCCCGGGGTCCGACCTCCGGGGGCTGCAGAGCCCAACCGGGCCCACGTCCCCATCCCGCCCTCCCCGTGGGCGCGGGCAGGGGCAGTCCTGACAACTGGCACAGGAACCCCGCCTTCCGGGCCAGAGGCTCGCCGTCACCCGCCGGGGCCCAGCCCTGCCGCCTCCGCCGCCCCGGAAAAGCCCACTCACTCCTCTTCCGCCATCTTCTCCCCCATCCTGCGGAGCCTCCAAGACCACCGAGTTTGGAGCCGCGGGGCTAGCGGGGCCCACGGTCGCTTCCGGCTTCCGCTGGAGGCGCGGGCGGGCCAGCGCGCGGGGGGCGGGGCCTCGACCTCGCGAGGGTGACCCTCTGTCCTGACATCTCAGTGGCCTGAGGGTGGGAGGAGGCGCGTGGGAGGGCCCTCCCGGGACTGTCCGGACTTACATCCGGTTTGGGCCACGTGGCAGCACTGCCCCGGAGAGTCGGCCTTTTCCCGATTACCGGGCGGGGACGATTTGGGGGAAACTTCTGTGAGGTCACTGTGACTCACCCTGAGGGCAAGCACTTTCTACCCAGCGCCCTGACATTCATTCGGCTAAAATCCGGGACAAAAATCCCCTCCCAGCCTCATGCTTGCTAGGAAGCGCTCTACCACATGCCCCCAGCCCCTGATTCAACAAATTAGTAGTAGGCGCCTACTATGTGCCCAGCAGTGCAGTGGCGGGTAGGGGGACCCCATCAGAAGGGCTATTGTAAGGCTTTGGGGTTTGACTGACCGCCTCTGCTGCCCTGGTCCGAGCCATAGAATCTCATCTGGTTAATCACACACTCCCTGAATGTCTGTGCCGGTTCCTGAAGGTCTTCCATAGAGGTCAGAGTGATCCTTAAACTACAGTCACGCTTCTGCTCAGAACCTGTAATGACTTACAATCTTAAAGCCCTGGACCATCTCCAGGAATCAGCTCTGCCCCGTTTGCCCCAGTAAGCTGGGTCTCGGCCCACTCCCTCCCCACTTTGTGCTGTTATCAGGGCAGCTTCCTCCCTATGCTTGGAGCCCTGAGAGCACCACTTGCCCTGGTACTTGCCCAGCCCTTGGTCTAGAATGCTCTGCTCCTAGGCAACTGCTTGGGCTCCACCTTTACCACCTTCAGCCTTTTCCATTAAGTCTTCCCTGACCATTTAAAATCCTGACTATTTAAAATCCAAGGACCCCCACCGTCCCTGAACTATTTTTCCGTAGATCTCCTAAAATACCATGTATTCTGCTGGGCATGGTGGTGCTCGCCTATGATCCCAGTGAGTTGGGAGGCTGGGGCAGGAGGATTTCAAGTTAAAGCCAGAAAAATAAAAAGGGCTGGGGATGTGACTGTGGTAAATTACTCCTGGCTTCATATGTTCATATATATAGTGATTTGCTTAGATAGTTATTGTCCATCTTGCACAATGAGAGTGGAACTGAGATAGGGAAACACCCTCAAGCAATTGAAATGCAGAATCAATCCATTGAGATGCAGAAAACACAAATGGGCAAATCTTGGCCCATACTCTAGGCCTGTGTCCCTGTAAAATAAGGGAAATAAATACACAAGCACTGGAAAAATGGCACAGAATTGTGCAGCTAAAGTCTAGTCCCTGATACAGCCCTTCTATAAATATTGGACCCCCCAGTCCAAGTCAGAGCTGCGTCTCCCTCTGCAGACAGCCCAAGTCTCTCTTGAATGTCTACCTTCCTCAATAAACCTACCTAAACCTTTGTCTGGCTCTTGCTGAAATTCTTTTCCTTTCTGTCATATGTGGCAAGAACCCTGTTGTTGGTCCTCAATTGAGTTCCCTCTCTTTTCTGGGAACTCCTGGGGCCCTTCTCTGGAGACATCTCTTCTCCTGTGACAGAATCTTCATGAATACAGAGATTCTTGTCTGTTTTGTTCTCCATTTTATCTCCAGTGCCTAAAACGGTGCCAGGCTCGTGGTAGACACTCAATAATAATCATCATCGGATAAATAAGTTCATTCTAAGTGCTTCAGGGAGTCACAGAAAGGGTTCCTTCCAACAAATGACACAGCCTTGGCTGCTTGTGGAGTGTTGACTGGGTGTGGTGAATCTAGGGGAGAAGCCCCAAGACCAGCCAGGAGGCCTTGGCAGTCATCTGGGTGAGAGCTGATGGCATTTGGATGAAGGTAGTACCTGGAGTGGCAGGTGCGGTTGGACTGGGTGCACATTGAAGGCAGGGTTTGCTGATGGACTGGGGCAGTTGAAAGAGGATGAAGTCAGAGTTTTGGCCCTGAGGAGCTAAACTGAGAAATCCGGCTGAAACCCAGAGTTCTCCATCCACCCTCCGAGACCTTTTAGGACTCTTGTCAAAACTGAGAGAATGAGGTTAGATTCTGCTGGTTTTTTTGAGCCCTTCCTGTGGGTGTGATGTGAGGCTATTGTTTCCTTAATTCCTTCCATAGCTTTCTAGACGAAACTGTCATTATTCAGGAACTGAATCACCACAGAGAAGTCAAGCCACTTGCCTGCAGTCACACAAAAGCAAACCTTGAAGCTGGAACTGTCTCTGTCTCTCTTTCGTGTGTGTGTGTGTGTGTGTGTGTGTGTGTGTTGTGCTGGAGAAGGTCTTGTGCATGCTAGAAAAGCTCTCTATACCACTGAGCTAAACCCCCAGCCCTTTTAAAATTTTATTTGGAGGATGGATATAAAAGTGCACACCTGTAATCCCAGCAATTGGGGAAACTGAGGCAGGAGGATCCCAAATCGCAGGCCAATCTGGGCAAGTTAGGCAGCCCCTGTTTCAAAATAAAAAATAAAAAAAGGCTGAGGGTGCAACTAGGGTCTGTTCCTGGTTCAGTCCCCAGCACTACTGTAACAGGGGACCCTTTTATGCTTTGAATATAGCCCTTGCTGCTCTGCCACTGTGACTGATTTTTTTAAAGGACGAGTTTCTCTTTCTCTGTTCTCCTCCCTAACCTCTCCCCGTCCCTAATCTCAGGGGAAACAGGATTACCTTTCTTCCCCATCCGAGTTATCTGTCCTTGAGCACACACCCACCATGGGAATGAAGTAATTCAGATTTGGGGGATGGCACCAGAAGATCTCAGAAATGACTCTCTCCCAAATTAACAAGTGAACCTTTGAATCACCTCTTTAAAAGCCTCCTGTTCTCCTTGATGAGTAGAATCACAGCCTTTGGGACAGGAGCCCCCTGAGTTTTTCCTTTGCAAGCAAAATAATAAACCTTCTTTTTCCTTTTTCTCAAAACTGTGTCCTTGTTACTGGATTGGCATCAGGGACAAGGACTGAGCTTTGGGTAACACTAAAAAAAAAAAAAAGGCAGGGGGCAGGGAGCTAGGAATGTAGCTCAGTAGTAGAGCACTTCTGGATTCGATCCTCAATACTGCCAAAAAAATTGACACAGCGACTTCCTGGGCCCTAAATCACTCAGGCTGGCCCTGAATTCTCCTCAGCCTCTCAAGTGGTTGGGACTACT